GCGGAGCAGGCTCTTTGTTCCGCGCCCTGGCGGGCTCCGTGGTGCCTGGCGCGGGGACAGGGCCGGGGCGGGTCACCCTCGGGGGGTCCAGCTCGCCGGGGGTCTCGGCGGCTGGGGGGGCCCTTCCTAGAGTCACCGCGCCGGGGTGGTTTGTTCTGGCCGCTGGACAAGTTACTTGGCAAAATGTCCCTGCCCTGTGGAAAGCCCCCCTCTCTGGAGGGCGAGGAGACATTGGGGAGCGGTGCGGTGGGCAGGGCACTGGACCGTGGGATGTTTGTTCAGCTGCCGTCGGAAGGCAAACACAGCCCTGCTGTCCCCTTAGTGCTTCGATACCGAACAGCAGCGCGTCCCGCTTGAGAAAGGGCTTCTGAAACTCTGTCAAAATGTCCCTGCCCTGTGGAAAGCCCCCCTCTCTGGAGGGCGAGGAGACATTGGGGAGCGGTGCGGTGGGCAGGGCACTGGACCGTGGGATGTTTGTTCAGCTGCCGTCGGAAGGCAAACACAGCCCTGCTGTCCCCTTAGTGCTTCGATACCGAACAGCAGCGCGTCCCGCTTGAGAAAGGGCTTCTGAAACTCTGTCAGGAATAATGCCTGCTGGGCTGGTCAGCCTGCTGCCCGAAGTTGAGGGAGTGTCTTCCAGGGAGAGTTACCTTTGTTTTCTATGCGTGGTAGTAGGTTTAAATAATCCTCATGACAAGGAGAGGTTGGGGAATTGGTCTTTTAATAGACAGTGTAGACAAGCTATGAAAAAGAAAAGTTTTAGAAATAGGTGGAATAACGAGGAATGGAAGGAGTGACCCTTCCTCTCCCAACTCCCATATGATTCTTTTTATGCAAGTGCTGAGTGAAAAACATATACAGTCTTGGTGGTTTAAATGCCCTTTATGCATGTGTTGCAATATATCAGATACCCGTATTTCCTTTTTTAAAATGAAGGATTGATTCTTCAGAGTTTGGGCTCTTTGACTCTGACCAAGAACTTATAAGTTAAACTCAAAGGGAGTTGTACTGGTGAAACTACCCAGGTTAGTGTTTGAAACAAAAAGAGTATGTTAGTTTTTCTCTTAAGATTTCACTTCTTTTGAGCTACCACAAATACACCTTTAGTGACCACCTGTAATGACCATGTTGTCCCATTTGGCTTAAAACAGGTCTAGACTTTATGGTGATTATTGAGGTGCTAGCCTATCTACTGCTTCATGTATACAGGAAAAGTAGTGAGAACACAGTTGGCTGCAGAACAGCAATTGCCCAGAGCTATCCTTTGGGATTTCTAAAAATGAAAGGCACAGAGGCACTCATGATTGAGTCTGTCCACCCCTACTGAGAACTGCAAACAAATCACCAAAATCCATCTAGTTTGTAGTACCACAATATATGTGAAGAAAATCACCTTGAGTGATCCCCTTTTACATCTCTGGTTAATATGCAATTGACTAATGAAACAAGTGGAACTTCACAAATTCAGGACTAAAACTGATTCATGATTAGGGCCAAGAAAATGATTTGTTGGCAGTTATCTGCATGTACTTTCCTAATGCTTTGAGGATTTCTGCATTCCTATCAATAAACATGGTGAAAAATCAGAGTAAGTAGTTCATTTGCAACTTCATGTTTTCATTCATAGCTTTCAACTTACCTTTGTATTTTTACTTCATCTAATTGTACAAAATGATATTTATTTAGCCTCCTAGTAGTACTTTTAGAATAAAATATGCAGACAGTGGATCTTATTCTGCCCTAATTTACAACAGCGTAAATCTGGAATGATGCCATTGAGATCAGTAAATTATACCAGTTATAACTGAGTCTAGAGTAACTCCACAGAATTTGGTCCAAAGGCTGTGCTCTGAGAAGTTTACAATCCCAATTGGACTAAAGCATAAAGAAAATGATAATAAATTATGCTGGGCATGGAGAAAGACAGCGGTAAGCAAAAAGAGGAAAGAATACTGCTCTTCAACTAGGCTGATATCTGTAAAGAGAATATTGTGTACATATATATAAAATTAGAATTTCCTGTGATGGATTGTAATTTAAAGAAAGCTGAGCTATTTTAAAAATCTGTCTTTTTTTGCTCCTTACTAAACACTTTAAAAAGCTACTATGTTCATTTGATATACCAAAGATAAACTTATGTTATGATTCTTGTCAGTCTGTGGAATTGCCTTCTGTTATCTCCGTTTTACTTGGAGTCTATGCATGTTCTGACTGTGCAGGCATTCGCTGTTACCAGCAAGCTTAATTCTTGGTCAATAGACCAAGAGGTTGTCATGTTATGATTCTTGTCAGTCTGTGGCATTGCCTTCTGTTATCGCCATTTTACTTGGAGTCTATGCATGTTCTGACTGTGCAGGCATTCGCTGTTACCAGCAAGCTTAATTCTTGGTCAATAGACCAAGAGGTTGTCATGTTACAGTTGTGTACTTTTCATGAAACTCTGGCCACATTGAAATCAAGGGGACGCAGTTCATGATATAACTTTAGGATTTATAGTATGATTTTTCCATCCTTCTCGTGTGGAATATCTAGCCCACTTTTCATTCCTTGATTGCTGGGATATGAGAGATTAATTTCCTGATCTAAAAATAGCTTCTACAGCTGTTAGGTTCAGGGTCATTATGTGCCTGAAATTCTCATATGTGAAGTTCATTCCTGGGCTTTCCATAGCAGACACCGTAAGTTTAAAATAAAATAAAAAGTTTGCTGTGTAGCTAAGTTCCTGGTGCACCATGTTGGTTGAATGCAGAAGCTAAATCTGTCGTGAATACAGAATTTGTATATAAGGCTAGCAATAATCTGTTTTGGCTGACCAACTAAAAACACCCCTTGTCTTTCTATCATTTTTACTTTTCTTCCCTTGGTAATTCCCCCACCTGAAGAAAATTAGACTGATTTCTTTAATCAGCGTTTGTTTGTAGAAGGGCCTAGAGGTTCCATTTCCATCTTACAAATGGAAAACAATACAAAAATTAAATGCACTTAATGATTAACATAAGCAAAATGTTACAATTCTCTGTTACTTGGGGGAGTAAAAAATGAGCACAATGGAGGGAAACAAAATGAAAGAAAATAGTTTAAACCAGTGTAAAACTTTCAATGCAAATACTTTAAAAAAGTTAATTCAGTGATAGGAAAAATGGCTGGAAAGTTCTAGGATTTTTCAATAGACTCTAAAAATAGATTAAAGAAATGTCACCCACATGCAAAGAGATTACACTACTAGCTTTGTAGAGCAGGTGTCTGAGTCAGGAGTTCTATGTTTGGTTTCCAGCTCCATCATTAATGTGGTGAAAAATGGGTATATAAGGTTTACCTCACAAGACTGGATAGGAGGTATGCCTCTAGATGAAAAATTCATTAAAAAGGCAAAGTACTATTATTATATTAGCAGAGCCATCTTTGACTTTAATATTATACAACAGTTAACAGCCCTAACTGATAAATCATAGAGGTTGAGTTTTCTTTTTGTGATTTGTTTTTTAAAGGAGTCAGATATCGCTTAATACATGTTAATGTGTACGAAGGCATGTAAACCACCATGATAGTATATGGTATTTTCACTGCACTCGTGTGTGAACAACTATTTTTGGGTCTGTTCTTTATTGACTCTTCCTTATAGCACTTTTCATCCATCTTTCCTGTTTAATCTGTCTAGTAAGGTATAAGAAATCATAGCACAGCAGAAGAATATTTTTTGTTTTAGTTTTATGTTTATTTCATTCCCGAATAATTGAACTCTATGGTAGTCATATGTCCCATAAAAAGCCATAGACTTTCATGTCTGTTTTTATCATCAGAGTAGTGTATTTGAGTTGAACTTTGAAAAGGTGTGTACATATGAGAAACATATAACCTCTATTCTCCATACTTGCAAAGTTCTAATTGGGGTTTGCAGGTGGTATAGAAAACTGGCCAACTTTCATACAAGAGAAAGTGAAGTTGATCTGTTGATCACTAACTCTGTAATTTGTTTTCTAGACTTGCAAGGGACCTGATCCAGCAAAGCGCTTAACCAAATACATAACCCTGAGAATGTGAATAATGCCATTGACTTCAGTGGAACTGCTCACATGCTTAAATGCTTTGCTGGATTAGGGACATAGGCAGGAAATCTGAAATGTGTTCTGGAAAGAATGTGCTTCAGGATGAAATTACCTGCAAATTAACTTTTATCAAGATCTAATTCAGTAGCTGTAGGCTGATTCTGGGGTTGTAGGTACACAAAACTGAACAAATACTTTCATAGTAGTCCTGCAAAAGTACTTGTCGGGAAATTCTGCATTACTGCACACATACAGAACTCATGTCTCCTGCAGATTTCTTTGATTCTCTGCGGAAAAAGCAAAGGGAAGCTTCAAGAGCAATCACACACCCCTTCCTAGCAGTGCAGGCACTTCTGTTCAGATGCCCAAAGCAGCTGGTAGATATGTAAATCTCTACAAGGGGGAGGGGTTGGGCAACCGTGCATGTGTGTCAGAGACACTGTGTGTTGCCATTCACTGTTGTGGCATGTTCAGCATGGAGGTGCAGGGTTTCTGGATTTTTCTCCGGCAGTAGGTGTGGGGCAGGCTCTGTCCCTTCAGGCAGCAGCCTGCCTGCTTAATGAATTGTTCTCATTGTCTTTGTGAATTCTCCCATGAGTATAACACAGGTGTAAAAGTTTTAAGGCTCCTTTACATTGCTAGATGAGTGTGAAAGGCTAAAACACGGTCTTATAAATGCTTATGGTGCATTAGTAATTTCTAAATGTTTGGACAGAAAAAATTTCCCATCACAATGTGCTCCATGAACTGTTTACTACTAATCCTTCTGGAAATGATCAGTAGCCAATATAAATTGTGAGTTTGATTCCCTAGCCCTCACTTACACAAAGGTAACTGAAGAGCAACACTGAGCTAATGGCTGTTTGCATTTGTTGACTAGTAATTTTGAAATAAAGGATCAAACATTATAGCTTCTTTATAATTAGACAAAGGAAGTTTGGGGATTACCTCTGGTGCTCCTCACTCGCATTCTCCCTTCATTGTATTATAGTTTAAATAAATTACCAAAATAATTTAAACTGGCAGTATTATGTTATTTTAACAAATATGCAGAATTTTGCGGAATTTTAAAAAAAATGTGCAGAATTTTAAAAGTTTTAGCACAGAATTCCCCCAGGAGTAACAAAAGGTGGAAAGAAAAAACAGGACTATGTAGCACTTTAAAGACTAACAGGATGGTTTATTAGGTGATGAACTTTCGTGGGCCAGACCCACTTCCTCAGATCAAATTGTGGAAGAAAATAGGCATGACCATATGTACCAAAGGGATACAATCAAAAAAAGTGAACACATATAAAAAGGACAAATCAAAGGTGGAAACTGATTGAACTTGAACTTAGTAAGTAAAGGTGCATATACACAGCACCCTAAACTCGAAATAATATATGCAATTTGCTCTACCCAAATTGTGTATCTTATTTTGAAACTATTTCGAAATAGCTTATTTTGAAATTTGGCCTGTCTACACAGTGCCCAATTTCAAAATAACGTGATATTTTGAGCCATATCTTTTCCCTTGTGCAACAAGGTTTATTGGGATGGCTAAATAGCATGCCTGTTAATTTTGAAAAAGAAGTGGTTAGAAACAAACAACAAACAAAAGCCTTTAGAAATTTGAAGTTAGATCCTGGTGAGGAAACATCCTAGAAAGGAACATACAGTCTGACAAGTCAAATGTAAAAGTATATTTAAGCAGGCCTAAAAAATATTTGAAGAGCAACTAACAAAACCGACAAAAATTAACACCAACACTTTTTTGAAGTATATCAGAAGCACAAAGCTTGCCAAAGAGTCAGTGGAGTCCCAGGACATTCAAGGTGCTAAAGGAGCATTCAAAAAAGGAAGGGCCATTGCAAATAAGAAAAATTATTTTGCAGTTGGTTGGGAGATTCCCACACCTGAGCCATTCTTTCTGAGTGACAAATCTGAGGAATTTACCCAGATTAAGATTTCAGTAGAGAAGTTTTGGAACAAATTGATAAATGAAATGAATAAGACACCAAGACCAGATGGTATTCACCTAAAAGTTTTCAAGTAACTCACATATGACTTGCAGAATTACTGTGGTATGTAACTTAACACTTAAATCAATCCTTGTACTAGATGACTGTAATGTTAATTTTTAAATTAGGCTCTAGAGGTGATTGTAGCAATTTTAGGTTGGTAAGTCTGACTTCAAACCAGGAAAATTGTTTCAATCCATAGTAAAAACAGAATTATTAGACACACAGATGAACATGATCTATTATTAGGAAAGAGTCAACACACATTCTGCAAAGAGAAAACATGTTTCACTAATCTATTAGAGTTCTTTGAGGAGGGTCAGCAAAGATGTATCAGGGTGATCTAGTTGATGTATTGTACTTGGACTTTCAGAAAGCCTTTGATAAGAGCGTTTGATGAGGCACATTAAGCAGAATAAGCAATCTTGGGATAAGAGAGAAGGCTCTTTTATAGGTCACAATAAGTGTTGAAAAGATAATAAATGAATAAATAGTAATAAATGGTCAGTTTTCACTGTGGTGAAAGATAAATAGCAAGA